TAATTCTTTTTGACACAGGGTCTGGCTGTGCTGTTTGGAGTCGTAGTGATCCTCCTGTCTCAGCCTCCCCCGTGCTGGGATTACAGGCTACCAAGCCCGGTTTCAGGGATAGCATGGTACAACCATGGGCGGGGCCGGCATGGCATGCAGTACCGGGAATCGAACTCGGTCCTTGCCCTTGCCAGGCAGGCACTTAGACCACCGAGCTGCTGCCCCACCCGAGATTTCCAATTGTGGTAGTGTCCCGGCGCGTCAAGGATGGACCACCCTTTCTCCAGGGGTGCAAAGGCCTCACAGAATGAGGATACTTTTCCAGTGAGATGCTCTCACATTAACTTTGTGAAGTTGCAATACGAACTGAATTTAAGATTGGCCATTATCTTGGCCAGACCAGAGGAAGATAAATTTGAATCTGTCTTTGAATTTCAACGATACCAGCAGGTTCTGTATAAACAGCCGGATTCTCATTACACTCCACAGTAAACTTGAGGAATAAATGAACCTTGTTGAGAATTTATTCTCTACGGAAGCTGGGCCACATAATTTTCTAAACACCCCTTTTCTATAAAACGCAAAATGAAAGGAGCCAGTCAGAACGTGTATTGAATATGCGCTTGGTGATGCTTTATGCTGCTGCTGCGGGGAGTCGCTAACTTTGATTTTTATTGCTGTATATTTAGAGAGAATAAACAAAAGAATGAAACCAGTGGCTTCACATGCATATTATGTTTAAAGGGTTACCCCTAGTGATGAGCTAAGACAGGTAGGTCCTTGTTTTCCTCCCTTGCGCGCTCAGCATGAGCCACTTGCAGTAGTGACATTCAGGACCTTGTCACTGACTAGGCCTCTTTTGCCTCCTGCGTGATGTGCCAGTTCCTAAAACCCCACATTGATAAAATTAGCTTTGCTCTAAGGCTAGCCGAACAGTGAGGAGGTAGAGGCCCAAGTCTCAAATCTGCCTCCTCAAGGTCAGGCTGTGGGATATTTGTGAGATTGGTAAGTAGTGACTTCAGGCTTTAGTGAAGATGTTGGGAGGGTGAAGTCACTCACGTTCTGGGGATGTACTTCATTTTTGGGACATGTGGGCTCCGAAAATGGTGGCTTGGTGTGAGCTTGCTCGAGGCGTGGGCTTCTCAGCCGCCCAGTGTGGGAGCACCCAGCAGAGCCTTTTGTGGGTGAGGTATCGCCAATGCGTGTGTCACCCGCAGACCAACTGTAAATGAAAGGCAGCCTCTGTGCTCCTGAAAAGCCCTTCAGGCACCTGTCAGCACACGTCCTGTATGTCGGTGTTATCTACCCTGAAGCCAATTTGAACATACTGCTCCGTGAGGGGACTTCTAAGGTTGGCAGTAAGAACGAGTAACTGAACACGAGTGAAGCTGGAGAGTTTGTCCCAGCCTTCCTGTGGTGTCAACTTGATTCTTTGTGGTCTGGGCTTTGTCTAGCCTCCTCCCTGCTTCTACCAAGTAGATGCCAATGACACATAGCCCCTCCTCCCAGAAGCACGGGCAGTTACACTGCTAGCTCCTGGGTGACAGGCATTCTGTAGCTGTGTGGAGGTTTGTTAGTGAGGGCACCTGCAGTGTAGGTGTGTGATATCCCACGCTGAAAGCCCATGTTTGGGCATAATATTTTATACGTGGACTTATCCTGTCAATCTCTACCTCCTTCTTTACAAATTCCCATTACCCTACAAACAGACAGCTGTAAACTATGAGTAAGAAAAGCTGCTTATTCTCTAACTAGCTAAAGCTAATTTTCCCACAGGACCTAGTTTGATGTCCAAGTAATCAGTCCCTATAAGGGAACAGTAACCTACGACGAGAAGAAGTACTTCCGTTGGGAGGAGAGGCAGGCATTCTCCAGCCTGCTGTACTTTTCATATCATTCAGGAGGATTCTTACTGTTAGTATCTACAGCAAAGTAATTGGATGGCTTTCTCTTAATCCAAACACCACAAAAGAGTTCCAAGTAGTAAATTAGGAACTTCATATTATACTTTGATGGTAAAAAGGGGTCATAATTCTGGCTCCAAAGGTAGTGATTATTTTGTAGGGCACATACATCTCTGCCGCATAATGAAATAAATGTCTGATCCTTTACAGACCTTGCAGGCCTTCAAAGCACTGTAATAATTTCATGAGGCTGTACCCTCACTACATGCATACCATCCACAAATTGTTCTCCCTGTCGCCAAAGGACGATCTTGCCTTTGCAAGGTAACTTCATTAAACAGCTTCATAATGCTTGTAAAAACCTATCTAGAGCCTGGGGTTACTTTTTTTTTTTTTTTTTTAATGGAGTAGCCATTTGATGATAAGGCAGAATTCAATGAGTGGCAAAACCCTTCCTCTGGATAATGCCAACTACAGATCTTATCATTGCTGCTCCTGGGCCAACAGGGTTGGGATCAGAGGAATATTGGAGTTGACGCATGGAAGAAGGGTGATGAATCTTGGGTGAAAGAGACGCTTTACTCTGGGAATCAGCAGTGCAAATTAGCATGCCTTTTGTGTTTCTGTAAGATAGATAGATGAGACAGACATGGGAAAAATTATTGAAAAGAGAAAAAAAGAAAAACAAGACCAACGTTGTCTGATTTGTGTTTGTTGATCCTGATTGTCTTGGTTACTTTTCCATGGTTAGATAATCCAACACCCTTAAATGAAAGCAAGAAAGGTGTATTTTAGCTCACAGTTTTTAGAAGTTGCACAGCACAGTTAACTGGCTCTAAGACAAAGGGGCACAGCAGAACACAAACAGTCCCTGGTATGTCAGGCGGGAAGTGGCAACAGAGAGCCCCTCTCTCCCTCTATTCCGCTCAGGCTACAAGCCTCTTAGATGTTCCACTTACACCCAGTGTGGGTCTTCTGCCTTCGGTAACCCATCCAGCCATACCCAGAATTAACTTAATCCTACTGTCACGTACCCTAGATGTAGCCACCTCTGAAAGCCCCCACCAATGGGCCCATGAGGCTTTGCAGGAACATCTTAGATAGAAACCATAGTACTGGTTAAATATGAACAAGGGCCAGCGAGAGAGCTCAGCAGACTGAGCGCCTGCTTAGGCAAGCGCAGGGACTGGAGTTTGCTGCACCGGCCCCACCCCCAGGCGCACTGAGCCAAAACAAGAGTCTGGGCTTGGTGGCACACACCTGTAATCCCAGCGCTGGGGAGGCAGGAGGATCACTATGAGTCCAAGCTGTGTAGTGAGACCCTGTACCAAATACATTTAAAACAAATGTGAACACGTATTTTGTGTGAAAATTAAGATAGATCTGGGCCAAGTGCAACACTTGGGAGTTTAAACTCCTTTTGGACTGTCTTGGGCCAGGACCCTGGGCAGTATATGTGTCCTGTTAATGAGAGTGAAGGGACAGGTTGGGAGACCTCTTTCCACCAAAGAGAAGGGAGACATGCTAATAGGCATATGCTGATTATCAACCCTCTTAAACGGTCCAGTTCTCCATCAGAAAAGCACACCACCTGTTCATGTATTTCTTTTGGTCCAGAGAAGATAGGAGATATATTTAAGAGAGAACCACTTTGTCAGAAAGCTCATGCCTAGTGCTAAGGACACGGTATAGGAATAACCACGGCAGGAGTGGAAAAATAGCTGTACCAGCAGCGGGCTTCCCGCTTCAAAGAGCCACTCAGGGTTTCCTATAGAAATTGTATTATATTGCTGTGTCTGGAATTTAGTGACAGTTCAGAATCAGTAGGCTTTTGCAAGCTGACCTAAAAACCATGCCCACAATATCCTCTGGGGCGAATATCTTCCGAGGTCTAAATAATTCTAAATAGCTTATTTATAAATCTGCACTTGGGCCATAATCCACTTCTGAATAATATATGGTGGTTTAAAAAAAGACTTCATAAAATCTTTGACAATAAACAGTCATAGAATCTTTCACTTAGCACTTGAAAGATTATGACTTAAATATTCAGTGTCTTACGCTGTATGTTTTCAAATAGAACACTCACTAGTGATTTGGAAACTGCATTGCAAAATACAACATTTGCATTTCAGAAAAGCTAGCGGAAGTCAGCTTGGTCTGTTGGAAGGAACAGTAATGGCCTAAATGACAATCATTTTGACTTTTTAAATGGAAGGTAAAGTGTGATTGGTGGCCCTGCTTGTCACGGGTCACATTATGGATCCTAACCACGACGCCGGGACATAAAATGTGCTTTTCCCCTTGCAGTGAGCAACATACAGGAAGACTTCCCTGAGATATGGGGCTGATCTCTCCTGCAAAGATCAGAGGGGTTTATTCCTGGGAAATAAAAATGCAACTTTAGGGCATTTTTTTATAATACGCTAGTAATAGAATGATATAAATAATTTATCTGCAACTGCAACCTGCACATACTGAGGAATTTAGACTTACTTGAAATTTACTTCATACAGACTTAAATTTAACTTCCTGTAGACTTAAATTTAACTTCCTGTAGAGCTAAATTTAACTTCCTGTAGACTTAACTTCCTATAGACCTAAATTTAACTTCCTGTAGAGCTAAATTTAACTTCCTGTAGACTTAAATTTAGCTTCCTATAGACTTGTTTGTCTATAATCAGAATGCTGATTTTTATCATTTTTATGATAATGATGTATCATTTCATATTAGGTGAAGGCGATTGATCCAGAGGGTGTGAACCTGTGACTCTAGGTTCTTCTTCGATGTTATTGTTATCTTTATCATTATTATTGTTATTATTACTGTCGTCTCTTTGAGACAGGGTCTCACTGTGCTGTTCAGGCTGGCCTTGAACTCACAGTGATCCTCCTGCCTCAGCCTCCCGAGAGCTGGGGTCACAGGCATGTGATACACTGGCTAAAAATACATTATCTTTTATGATGAAAGTATGTGCAGGCATGCACTTGAGATATGTGGGACTTGTCCATGCAGGAGGGCTTTATAGTGAGTGATGTATCAGATTTCTGATCTGAATGTCAGTGCTTTTCCTCAGCAGCTTCTGTTTTTTCTCACCTGTCCAGGTCCTCCTTGCTAGCAGCTTCATACCCATTTATGCCGGACTGAGACCAGTGGAATACCAAGGGCAGGTACAGTGATGCTAACTAAGGTTTGCCCTACCCCCCACACTGACCCATTTCATTTGAAAGATCTGAGTTTGTATTCATTCTGGCCAAATCCATTTTTTTGTGTGTTATTTGTACAAATAATGTCTCGATAAGAGCAAAGAATGTCAAGAACAGGGACTGGGATACCTCACCACCAGATCTTACCAATGAGAATGACTGGCTGGCTGGGATGCTGTTTTGTTTTTGTTTTGTTTTGTTTTGTTTTGGTACCTGGTGTTGAACTTAGGACCTTATACTTGCCAAGCAGGCGCCATCTCCCCAGCCCTAGCTTGATCTTTTCTTCATCATTATTTAAAATTTAACTTCATCAAGCGCTGTTAGGGTTTGTGTCAAGTTATCCCCCCGCCCCCAAAGCCTCACGTAGCCACTGGGGCGGGCTGCTAGAGGTTGTGATTAATTCATGGTCATCCAATGCTGGCATTATGAGAGTGAGGGCCACACCACCACTGGGGTGGAGAGCCTGAAGGCAGCGTAAGGAAGGGAGCGAGGCCTGCTCTCTGCTGCTGCTGCTGCTGCTGCTGCTGCTGCTGCTGTTGCTGCTGCTGCTGCTGCTGCTGCTGCTGCTGCTGCTGCTGCTGCTGCTGCCTTTTTATTCTCGCTGTATTCTGCCGCCATGAGCTGCTGCCATGTGCCACTCTGCCTTGGAGCCAGCTGAGTATGGACTGAAACCTGCACAAACTGTGAGCCGAATAAGCCTTTCCTTCCTTAATTTGGGGTGTTGGGTATTAGGTCCCAGTAGCGAGAGAAAATTAGCTAAGACAAATACTTAGCTTCTCAGTGAACGTACGGATGGTACTGTCTCGGTACCGGCAGTTACTTGGCTCTAGCAGGTGCTAGGAATCCCAGACAGATCATCTCGGTTGTACAGGATGGCAACTCACAAGAGTCAACACCATGATTGCAAGGCGGCACATCGAGCCCAAACTCGTGCAGAAGACCAGGACAAGATGTTGGCATTAAAAGGCACTAAACACCAAGTCCAGGGAGTGTCACAGCAGTTGAGTATCACAGGCTGACTGTAATTTTTTAAGGCAGTAAAACCTTTTTGTGTTTCATAATGCATCATGTTCACAGCCACTCCTATCAATGCCAGAAGCAGAATTGCAATTTCAGGGTGGGCAAAGGCTTTGCACACCTCGCCACCCACTCCCCAACGGTGCCAGGTCCTCTTTCTTCTGTGCCTGCAGTCCCTCGGCTGCCTAGAACCCCCTATGGTTCTCTAAGGCTCTCCGCTTACAAAGATGTGCATTCCCATCCCCCAAAGTGTGACGCCCGGCAGCTCTCTTCACTTGCACTGCCAGCGAAGGCAGGGTGCCAGATCTTTGCAGGAAGTTCAGACGTGAGCGCCCCTCTAAAATCTAAGCTCAGTGCTACTCAGCAGTCTCTTAAACAGCTGCCTCACCTTATGCCTGATAATCGGAGCAGCTAATTAGAATATAGCAACATGTAGTATAACAGCCACTGTTGAATTCCTCTCTTTTTCTTTAGTGAAATTCTGTATCATTTTTAATGTGTTTCTTTATTACTATTTTTTATTCTCTTTAAAAAATACAAAGCAGCTACTTCTCCAAAGTGTGCTTTTCTAAATATTCCCCCCAGCCTACCCTAGTTGGCTCTTTTTGTACTCATTTTATAATCCAGTGCCATTCTTACTTAATACATGCTAGAGATACGCATTTCAGAATGACATATCATCCCTATTTCACGCATGGAAGAGATAAGGAATTTACAATAAAATACAGAATATGTTTAATGCATATATGAGTCATACAAATGAGTATTTTATCAAATAAAGCATGTTAACATATTTATAATCAAATATTGTATATCTAGCACATACCAGACGTAGGCCTTTTGTAGTCCCACTTATGTTTTAACACATACTTACAATGAAAGGCGTTATCCACCTAGCACATAGCAGAGCGGTGCACTTTATAAACAGATGTAATAGCTGTTTAGCACATATTTTAAGTCAAATGTGGGTCCATTTTGCACAAACAAGAGATGCACATTTTACAATCAAGTGTAGTGTCTGTCTAGCACATACCAGAGCTAGGGATTTTATAACCAAAGATATGCATTTTATAGGCAAAATATTTAGTAGATAAACCAGATATATAAATACACGTGTGTGTGTGTGTGTGTGTATTTATAACCAAATATGGCATCTATTTAACACATTTATAGCCAAATACTGTATCATTTAACACATACCAGAGATATGCATTTTCTAACCTAATACACTATATATTTAACATACTGGAAACATATATATATATGTTGATTATATATTTATAATCGGCTAGAATATCTAGTTAGCACATGCTAGCAATATGCATTTTATAAACACATGTGTCATCTACTTAACACACATTTATAATCAAATATAGTATTTTGCACATACCAGTGATACGGCTTTTATAATCAAATATACGGTACAACATACACCAGAGATGTGTGTGGTCTTGAGATACAGTATCTGCTTAACATATGCCAGAGATTAGTTGTGAACATGGATACCTGGGTTCACGAATGCTTTTTTTCTATTCTTTTTTTGGCCAAACCGGGGATTGAACTCAGGCCCTTGTGCTTGCCAGGGAAGCACTTATTCTACTGAGCCATTGTCCCCGGCCCTCATGAATTGTTTTGTTTTGTTTTTTTTTTTTAATTTTAAGATCATTATTTGTTTGGTACAGGGTCTCACAGTGATCCTTCTGTCTCGCCTCCCCTTGCACTGGGAATTACAGGCGTGCACCGCCATGCCCAGAGTTTCCAGTGGCCGGCATGGCACACCTGGGGTTCCAGGACCCGCACAGCATGCATTACCAGGGGTCACACCTGGGTCCTTGTGCTTGCCGGGCAGACGCTTAGACTTCTGAGGCCAGCCCCAAGAATACTTCTGTTTGGCAACATTTTGTTCCTAGTGCAAACATTCGTGATGAACATGACTACAGCCATCTTTTTTTTATTATTTATTTTAGTACACGATCTACAGGGTCTCACTACACAGATCGGACTCGTAGTGATCCTCCTGTTTTCAGCCTTCCAAGCGCCGGGATTACAGGCGCGCGCCACCACACCCAGTCTGCAGCCATCTTTTCCAGAATCATGAAACGAATTCCATTTGCAGTCCGAGGTACTTCTCTATTTGAAAGTGAACCAGAGCCATTTGTTTTATTTGTATATATTTATTGATTCATAAACAAGTACACAGAGCATTCAAAGGTCACTTGGATACACTCATTCACTCCAAGTGGGAGTACAATCCCATCCCTTGAGAACCGCTGAAAAAGGAGCAGATGGCCTCCCAGCGAAGGCAGGCACTGACATTTGCAGTCCCTTGGTCAGCGTGAGGGAGGAGGTGCCTGTGTTCCAGTCACGGCAGTCCAGGTGCTCTTGCCCAGAGATTACCTGGTGTTCTGAATCCTCCCCTCATCCCAGATGGCTTTGCCCAAACCAGCTTTCTCTGGGACAAAGCCTGGAGAGAATGTTAGGGAGGGCAGATTTAAGTAAGTGGACGAGGACCACATGAATACAGAGAAGAGACTCAGAGCACGCTGCTTGCTCTCTGTTAGTCTCTGTATTAATATGCACCCGGTATGCTACTTGTAGTGATGTGCCCTTTTTGTGCCACTTATAGAAACTACATATATATTCATATTTTAGTGTCGTAAATAATTGTATTATAAGCTCATGGAAACTAAATGGGCTTTTTCTTTCTAATTTCTATTTGAAATTCCATCTCTCAAAACGAATACACATTCTGTTTCCAAGAAAAGTATTATGTCTTTTGCCATTAAAAAATTTATTTGCAGTGTGTCAGACTTCAACTACATGGTTATTTTAAAGTATCATTTTTTCTCGTATGTGAATGAAGGTCAACATTTACTTTTAGGTATAAAACTTTAATAGATTTGAAGTTGCTATGAAAATTACTGTGTATTATGGGCTTTAATTTTATGATCACAGATCTAACATGACTTTTACTTCCCAGTGTTGTTTTATAATATAATTCAGCCATAACAAGAATGTCAGAATGGTTTAAAAAAAATCCTGAGGCATCTTCTGAGATTTGATATTACTGTGCAGAGGGGTGTACTTATGTCTTCTGTTGCTGTTCTAAAATGCCTGAGGCTGTGGAGTTTATAAAGAGGTTTATGTGCCTCATGGCGTTTTGGATAGCGAAAGCCCAACATTGGTTAGGGTCTCGCTGGCTATGCCCTGGTGTGACCGAAGGTGCCATGGTGGGAGCTGGTGTAAGAAAGGAAGGCACATGGTGACAAGAAGCTGGAGAAGTTCAGAGCCCAGGCTCCCTTCTTTGTAACTCGCTCAGGCAGGAGTTGACTGAGTCCCGTGAGAGCCTCCTGTCTCCCTCAGTGCCCTGCCCCTCCAGGTTGCTTCTTAGGTGCCGTGATTTCTCCTATCCCTACACTGGGGACCAAGGGTTAGGGCACAGACTCAAGCCACATTGAAATGTAACGCTGAGCTGTAAAAGGCTCAAGCCAACAACTTCTGACATTGCCAGTCCTACGGAAATCCCACTACTATTATGGCCGACTGGACTATATTGGAATATTTTGCTGA